GGAAAATGCTCAAGGATTTGAAGGGGTGGATTAAGCACCCTCTGCCTTGGGGGTGGTTGTTCTTCAAGCAAGTTCTGCTTGCACTTTTGCATTTGCCTAACAGACTTTTGCAGAGGCGGTGGCAAAGAGCAGCTACAGGCATGGCCCCTGGAGCCGAGCCTTCGCCATGCACTCGTCCAAGTTTGGATGCGGGAACCCGGTCCCAGCTTGAGTTCCCACATTTCCCACCACAAATTACCAACTGGTTGATGTGTACACTAATTACATTTCAGGAGGACTTATGCTATTTATGTTGTGCCTCTGCAGGCAAAGCCCTTAATAAATATTTTTCATCTTTCTAATGACAATGAATGGAATTAATCACTCTACAGGTATAGTATTACAACTCATGTTTACTTTTTAAAATGATTTAGACCGATTTTCAGATTTCATTATGATTAAAGATGTCTCATGTACTTGGAAAAGTGAGCTTTTTTTTTTTTTTTTTGTATTTCACTTTCATACCAGGCTTAATGTCAATGACATTTTTATTCTTGAAGTACTCTGACACCTCCACCCTCTACTTTATTAGAATTGGAAGGCAAGTTTTTGTCCAAAAACCTTCTACAGACAAGTACTTTGAGAGAATTTCCAATATGATATTAGACATAATGATAATTTTTTCCATACTCAGAATGAAAAACTGGGTATTACATTTTTGTTTTGGGTTTTTTTTTTTTTGTTTTTTTTTTTGTACAAATTTAGGTAATAGCTACAGGCGGAGAGAATTGTAACATAGCATGACAGACTTTGTGTTGACTTGAGAGGAATCACACCATTATTCCTTAGAAGTAATTACATACGTTCTAACACATTGGAGACAGGGTTGGACTACCACTTCTCCTCAGAGAAATTACTTAACCCTTCCTGACGCTGTACAGTCATCTTTTATTCTACTTCCTCTTTGCTGTTTGTAGTAGAGACATTTTGAATGAAACTTGTCACTGCTTGATTCAAAACTGTAGAAACCGGATCTGTTTCGTCTCCTGTTTGTATGTGTTTGCTAATAGTAGCTAAATAACCAGATTTTGTTGTAAATGCACCAAGTCCGGAGGCACTTTATGTACTACATGGATGTCATATCTGGTTTTGTTTTTATTTTTTTATCATAAACATTAAATGTGATGATTTCTTTTCCCTGCACACATCTTTCCGGTGCAATATCTATCAATTGTGAATCTGGCTGCTGGTGTATAAAAACCTGGATGTAAAGCTGAGCCTACAGACCTGTCCTCACCAACTGTTCTGTGATTTCTACTCAACTACAAAGATTTATTTAATGTACACTTAATCTAACCGAGTTTTGTTACCGATGACCTGTTGCATGCTTCGGTAGTGTGTACTGCCTGCATTGTGTCCGTTGTGTGCCAGATTAAAAGTGAGACAGAAGACTTGACTTGACCGCTGAGCTCAGGCTGTTGAGCTGGTGGTGGCGGAGGTCTGAGGGTACCTGCACAGTTTGATTTTTTTCTACGTGTAAGTCTCTGTTGCAGAATTGTCGTGCTTTGAGAAAACACCTGAGACAGTGTGGGAGTTGAACGACCCTGCTGTTCTTTTTAACCTGTGTTGTCCTAGACCCTGTCGGGGCAGTTAGGGGACACTAGAGATTTGATCTCATGCCGGTCATCAATAGGACAAAAAAGTTGTGGTTTGGAGAGGTCTGTTTGTTACAGAAAAAGGACCTTTTGGTGCAAGAAATTGCCTGTTTTTACCCAGCCGCGGGTGGCATGTGAGAAGCCATGGGAGGCTGTGGTTATAATTGAGTTGTCTAAAGGGGTGTAGAGGTCTGAGGTTTCTAAAAGAAGGTAGATTTCTACAGAGCTGAGTGTTGGTTCCTTTTTATTATTGGTTGAAAAAAGACAGAAAACGTAGATGTTATATAACTAAAAAAAAATACCCTGCTCATTAGTTTTGACTATTGGTGAGATACTTCCCTTACAGTTAATATAACAAATGTCTCAGTGGCAAAAATCCCCTTTCTGTGAGCCCCCATAGTCCAGAGTCAGTTCTTTTTAAGAACCATGCCAGAGCCCGAGTTGAGCAGTGTGCTTTCTTGGTTTTTGAGAGTGATCGTGTAACTGTAGAGGGAGAAATCCAGTTCCAGCGTAAGAACTGGGATTCTGTTGTCTTGTAAACTGCATATTGAAAACCACAGAATAGTCACTAAATGCATATTAAGTATTGGAAAGTATAAGAGAAAAATCATTCTGACAGTTTCTAAGCCAGGAGCAAATAAGAATTATTGAAATCTACCCCATGAATACTTGAAAGGCAGTAATTGTGAGTGGCACCTCAGTTCATCAACCCCTTGATAAGATTAGCTTGATTTTAATGACAACCAAATATTGCTGAATGGGGGTTTAGTATTTTTTTAAAAAGTAAAACAAGGTTCCCTAGTTCTCAGCAATTCTCAACGTTTCTCTCTTTGCCTAAAATGGTCATAGATCTTGATTTCTCTAAATTGCAATGACCACGCCCAGCCATCTTCACAACATAGATGCAGGTAGTAGTGAAGACAGTGTGCTGGGTAAGGAGCCGTGGCTGGGTCATTCCTTGGGATCCGACCTGCACAGCAAGCAGCCCTGGCGGGAAGAGGGCAGTGTTGCCTCTCCCAGAGGTCCCAGCAGCCACACTGCTCTTCAGCGTGGGCTCTCTTTAACCTCTGTGCTCTCCCAAGCTGGAGAAATCACCTTAATGCAGTGTCTTTAGTTGCCTGCTGAAGGTGTAGTTATTACGGGCTGCTTATATGAAGCTGGGAAGTACATGCCGGAAGTCACACACCGCCTGTTGCGGGTCTCTTAATATCAGTTATCACGGCTGCCTGTGGGTCCCAGGTATTCCATTCCTGCCCCTTGTTGACCCAGGGAAGGATTTGGAAAGTGCTAATGGGACGAACATCCCAACAGCCTGTGCTTCTCCACCGCTGGCCCCGGAGCCGGCAGCAGTGAGGCATTCATTCATTGTCTGAATTACTACGTATTCCCAGCTTCAGCGCTCTTTTCCTTTTTGCCTGAAATGTTTACTGCAGTTTAAATGCTTTTCTGTAGCCAGTCCTCTAACGTATCACAAGAACAAACATAAGGCACTTACTTGGCTTTTGTTTCCAGGACCCTTCAGCAGGTGATGTCAGATACTCCCTAAGTTCAGACAATGAAGAATAGAGAGGGACTTGATGTGTATTGTTTCTCCTACATAAGGGCAAAGGGACAGATAATGATGATGATTATTGTTATTTTTATTATTTTGAGATGCGGTCTCTCTCTGTAGCCCAGGCTAGAGTACAATGGCTCAATCTCAGCTCACTACAACCTCTGCCTCCCAGGTTCAAGTGATTCTGCTGCCTCAGCCTCCCCGTGTAGCTGGGATTACAGGCACCCACCATCATGCCCAGCTAACTTTTATATTTTTACAGATACAAAATACGGGGTTTCACCATGCTGGCCAGGCTGATCTTCACCTCCTGGCCTCAGGTGATCCTCCTGCCTTGGCCTCCCAAAGTGCTGGGATCACAGGCATGAGCCACCGTGCCCAGCCTCACAGTGACAGATTCTGAGAAACAGTGCAAAACATTTGAACCATTTTCTGTGTCTCCCATTGTTTCATAGACAGCGTGCACCACTGCTGTCATCTTCCCAGATCCACAGTGGCCCTCTCGAAAGCCAGGTCCATACACGGCAATGTTTTAATTGTTCTAACAGTTACCCATTAGCAATCCACCCCTGTATTTCCAAAGAGTTTTGTACTCACCTCTGAAATTTAAAAATGTATACAGAGAGCCTTGGTTAATCAGTTCTGCAGCCCCTCCCCACTGTGCTAGCTCCCCTCTTCTCTCTTCTCCTCACCCTGCCCCTGTACCCCTGTACTAAGAAGGAGGGGTGGGAGGTGCTGTCTGGCATCATTTTCTGCCCTGCCAGTAGCAGGTGCCGCTGTGCATGGTAACTGCCTGGCCTGCTCCCTTCCTGACCTTCCCCACCCCGAAGATCACACGCTACCTCTGTCATTAGGCATTGGGGTACATCCTGATAAGTCATGTCAGAACTGCCAATTTCAGGACTGAGATGTGTTTTTAAAAAACAAATTCTTATAAACTTCACTTTGTACTTTAGATTTTAAAACTGGGAGGAACATGTGATATTCTTTGGACCACTTTTTTAATTTATAGAAGCCTTAATAAACAGTGTCTATACACTCGCATACACACACCCCCACCCCAGATTGTTCTCCGTATGTCAGAGAAAATGCCGTAGCATTAGGACGGGAGCTTGGAGAGTGTTTTCTAGAAAAGGGTTAGCTTCCTGTTGGCATGAAATTTTCCAAGCAGACCTCTCAGTCAGTATCTATCATTTGTTAAAGATGTTCCACTCAAAGCAATGCATGTTTCAGGCGCATGTCTTTCTGTTCGCTGGTTTTCCATGTGTAAGGAGTAGCATTGCCGTTGGTTCCTAACCTTGCGTGCACTGCATTCTCAACCTTGTACCAGTGCATCGGAAGCCATCCTCATGATGATGACTGTGTCTGCAGGTGTCTGTGTTCCTGTGTAAGCCAGTTTTCCCCTTTTACTCAGACTGATTTCACCTAGATTGTCACCGTTTCCTTCATGTTAACTTTACGTGACTTTCTTCTTCCTTTACTACTATGTATGTAATATATATGCATATATACGTACATATGCTGTCCAAATATATTTGTATATATTTGTATAGCATTTTTACACCTTTATTGAGCAATCTGGTTTTGAAAGGGAGTGAGAGCTTAATCCCTTCTACAGTTTTCTCCAAGCTGTGACCTGCGAATTTCTACCATTGGAGCCTGAGAAAACCCCAGGAAGGTTATGTTAATTTGCTGTCATTTCTTAATTCAGGATCTATCATCAAATGAAACATGAAAAAACAGTGACTTTTAAGGTGAAAAGAGTGTCAAGCATTCCAAATAAATTCTCAGTGTTTCGTAACTTTTTATTATAAACCCACCTCCTAATAGGAAGCCAAGTCCTATTTGATACAATGAAAAACCAAACTACCTTGAAGTTTTTTTAAGACAACTTACGGATAATGCTCATTTTCACAATCAGAATAGCTTTAAAATATGGTTGAATTTGATACACACAGGAAAAGTTTTCTTTGAGAACAAATCCTTTTCGCTTTTCTTTTTCTTGAGAGATCTAAAGAGAAACTGTAGATTGTTTTCCTGACAGCAAAAGACAAATGTGACAAAATGAAGTCATTGTAAAGAAGTGATGCAATTTGTCAAATATTTAATAAAGAATTATGGAAGCTGGAACATTTTCTACATAAGTATTATGGGTTGTTTGATTGAAAGCTGCTTTGTGAATGCACTGTCTTAATTGTTTCAAGGGGTCTAAATGCCTGCAGATTTATAGTAGGTTCATTTCCTTCATCTCCCTAAAAGCTCTGCACTTTTAAAAACATTAAAGCCTGGCTGGGCACGGTGGTTCAAGCCTGTAATCCCAGACTCTGGGAGGCCAAGGCGGGTGGATCACATGAGATGAGGAGATCAAGACCAGCCTGACCGACATGACAAAACCCCGTCTCTACTAAAAATACAACAACAAAAATTAGCTGGGCGTGGTGGCACATGCCTGTAGTCCCAGCTACTTGGGAAGCTGAGGTAGGAGAATTGCTTGAACCCAGGAGGCAGAGGTTGCAGTGAACCAAGATCATGCCATTGCACTCCAGCCTGCGTGACAGAGCGAGACTCCATTTCAAAAACAAAAAAATTAAAGTCTGCACAAAACACACAGCTTAAGCTTACTAAGAGGATGCACATTTATTCTTACCCATCTGCTGTTTTATTCTTTTATTAAACTTGAGAATTACTGCTTTTATATAAAATGTGTATAATCCCTGTGAGTCTATTCCTGAAAAGGCATCTTTGTATGCCTGGCCCTCAACTTGTGTGAGAGTTAAGGAGACTCAAGAATGAATTCCCAGAATGCTTCTCAGAAACGTGCTGTCAAAATCCAGACCGTGTGACCCTGCCCTGTGCAAACCCGGTGGCATTTTTCCCCATGCCATTTCATTCCGCCCAGGTCATCTCAGGTTCCTGGAGAATTTTCCCTTTTTCTTTAGTACTCAGCTTCCTCTTGATGTGCTCAGCCCATCCCCCGGGGCAGAGGAGATACCTGGGAAGCAGGTCATCATTTCATCTTTGATTTTTTTGCGGCTTGTCTTTTTCCACTTACAGTAGATGGCATGTTGCCGGGAAGCTGTCGGCAGCACCTAGAATTCCTGCCTCCTCCTCCAGGGTTACGAGTACACGGGAGAGGCACAATTGGACAGAGCCACTGTGAATATTTATGTGTCCTTTCTTAAAACCACCACACTGGAACGAATTACATCAATGACATAGTTGCTAGATTAATATGCTTTTAACCTGCTCTGAAGTCCAGGCATTCATCAGGCACTTGTGAAATGTTGAAGCCCCTGGTAAAAGTGTTCCTGGTGAGCATGAGTATCCGGAATTCTGACACTAGCTTTCCCGGGGTTGGCCCTCAGAGCCATGTTCAAAGGGGTCCGTGGGGTAAGAACGCAAAGGCCGCTTTCTGACCATTTTCTGGGAGAGAACACTTGTCAAAACAGTGAGCTTCTGGAGAGCTCAGGCTGTAGAATCTCTAAGAAATCATTTATAGGACTTGAATTGGGCAGGAAAAACAAGCATGAGCTTACCTAAGACTCAAGACACAGTCCCTGGTAAGTAGACTGCAGCACCTAGCTGTGACCCAGTGGGGCCTAAAGAGGGCAAGAGAGTCCCTGTTGGGTCCCTTGTAAGGCTGACCTTAGGCCAGAATGGGAAAAAGGTCAGCCACTGCCATTAGCCTGTTCCTGTGTTCCTCCCTGCCCAGCCCCCTCCGCAGTGCCCAGTGCCACTTCTGTTCCTCCTCCCCTATCCCCTACAAAGTTCCCAGCTGGGCTGCAAGTCTTGGGTACCTGGACTGTTGACAGCGCAGAGCCCTCCCGTCACCTCTTAGGAGAGTGGCCTTCACTTCACGGGGGCCTCCTGGGGACAAGGCCTCCTGAGCCCTTAGTGCTTCCAGGGGAAGGTCACCTTCTCCCAGGCCCACTCAAAGCACAGAGTCCCACAGGGGTTCAACTCTTCCAGGTCCTCTGCCTTGGTGTTTGAGCTGGCTGCGATAACCTCATCCTCTTTCTGGCCAGGTGCCCCCAGAACCTACCTTTTCGGATGTGCCCTTTTACCAGGGCTCCAGGCCCCCTCCCTCGCAGTTCTGCGGCCTTGCTGTCCAGTTCCCCATTGGAAGGGAGGGGAGCCCACGTTTCCGCGCGCCCTTTTGCCCACTGCCAACACTAGTCCTTGGAGAAAGGCTTTCCTCCTCTCCGAGGAAAGGGCTTACCTGCAGACAAATTAGTTTGGAAGGAGTGTATGGTACTAGAGCAAGCACACCCCCAAATTGAGCAGATTGAAACTGAATAGGGCCGAGAGGGTGGTGAGAGCCACATTCCTCTGATTAAAGGCAGATTCGGGTAGTGTCTCAGCAGTGCCCTTCCAAGGGAGTGTTAAATACTGTTGCTAGAATCAGGGAGTCGAGTTCTCAATCCTATTTGGCCTTATCCAGACTGAGTACCACAGCTAAAGGCAGAAGGTTCCACGCTCAGAAACCTAGGGCTCAGCAGCTGGAATCACGTGCTCATGGAGTATGTGGCCCTGCAGGGCCGGCCTTGCTTTGTCTAATGTTCTCCTTTTCCACATGCGTCCTGGGGTTCTTGTCCTCAATCAGCCCAGTTAGGACCAGTACTGTGGGCCTGGAGGACCCGGTGTTGTTCGAATTTGTGGCCTTGGACTCTGCTAGGGCACCCCTGCCTCTCCTGTACAGACCCACAATAGCTGCCCCTGTGGGAGCTTCTCCCAGGTAGAAACCTGAGGGCAAGGGTGGTCAGCTTCCGATGGCCCCTGTGGGCCGTGGAGTCGGGCAGGACCTCATTCACCCCACTACCTCCACCCTGTGGCTTGTCTGCCACAGAGGGACTGCTTAACACTGAGCTCAGGAAGAGCAGCCAGGAAGAAGCTACACGAACGGCCCAGCTTGGGCAGTTGGGGGCTGGGGGTAATGGACAGACCATCTTGGCCTGGAGGCTTCCCTGGCAGAGACACAGCCAGGAGGGGTTCCATCCTCCTTCTTCCCAGTTCAGGCAGAAAACCCAGGTTTTTCCAGGAAATCTGCAAGCACATTAAATTGGTGTCTCCTTTAAAAAAGTGCAAGGACGGAGACAGTCCTACCTGTCCTGAGCAGGATCGGCCCTGTGCCAGGGGCCGGGCAGTAGCATGCTGGCACTGTAGGTGGGGAAAGGGCCAAGGAGCCCAAGAGGAGTTGTCAACAGGACAATTTAAAGAGTCTAAGTAAACCAGGCACGATGACTCACGCCTGTAATGCCAGCACTTTGGGAGACCGAGGTGGGCAGATCACCTGAGAGGTCAGGAGTTCAAGACCAGCCTGGCCAACATAGTGAAATCCTGTCTCTATTAAAATATAAAAATCAGCCAGGCGTGGTGGCGTGCACGTGTAATCCCAGCTACTCGGGAAGCTGAGGCAGGAGAATCGCCTGAACCCGGGAGGTGGAGGTTGTAGGTGGGAGGATGTGACCACTTGGAGATCTGCCGTCCTACTGCCCACACGTCCCGATGAGCAATAAACTCATTTGTACTAAGATGTGAATGACTGATAGGCTAAACACATGACCCTTCCAGAAGAATTTTTAACAAAACCAAAAGTGATGCTTGGTTTAAATAAAAAGGAATACGGGTCAAAATTATGGCATTCATGTCTCAGCAAATTGGGGGGGGGTTTGAGGGTAGGGGTCTACTAAAGTTTACAAAATCCACTGAACATGAGGTGCCACCACAGTGTGAAAAGACATCCTGGTCTCTGGGACAGCCCCAGTTTAGAAATACCTAATGTAGATGAGGGGTTGATAAGTGCAGTGTATCACCATGGCACGTGTGTACCTATGCAACAAACCTGCACATGTACCCCAGAGCATAAAGTATAATAAAAAACAAAAACTGTAAAAGGTGCTGCACTGCATTTCTGGCTGCCACAGGACAGAACCCCCGCCCCGCCTCCCTCTAGCCTTCCCCACACACAAAACAAGCGTCTCATATTTTCCAGGCACCTTCCAGGAGCAACATAAACTTCCTTCTGGCCAACAGAGATGAAGGGCTGAAGGGGCCAGAGACTGAAGACTGGATTTTCTACTCCCAGGAACTCTTTGATGGAGCTCTGAGATGTTGAGTTTTTAAAAGAGTTTCTGCTATTAAAGGATTTTAGGTATTAACCTGTAACATACAGTCATGCACCACATAAAGACATTTTAGTCAGCCATGGAGCCCATATACAATGATGGTCTCATGAGATGATAATGGAGCTGAAAAATTTCTGTCTCCTAGTCGTATGGCCTAGTGACATCACAGCCTTTGCAATGCTTCACCCTTTCTGTGTTTAGCTACGTTTAGATGCACAAACACTTAGCATAGGGTTACAATTGCCTGTTGTATTCAGAGCAGTCACAGGCTGTACAGGTTTGTAGCCTCAGAGCCATAGGCTGGACCATATAGCCTAGGTGTGGAGCAGGCTATGCCATCCAGGTTGGTGTGAGTACACTCTGATGTTTGCACAATGATGAAATGCATCTAACGACACATTTCTCAGTGTGTCCCAGTTGTTAAGCAACCCATGACTGTATTTAACACTGTTTATAGCAGAAAGATTGAGTTCGGGATTTGTCTTTTGAATTCTAGTTATGTAGCTCTCTTAGCAATTCTAAGACTCTGCCGCTGGGGTCGTCACGCTCCCTCACAGCCCCTCTCGCCATGACCTCAACCCCCTATCCTGGCCCTCTCTTGCCTTCTCTGCATTCTATATTTACTTAGAAGATCCTTGCTTGTTCATAGTTGAGGCTGTCAGGGGGACATGCCCTCCCCAATGTAATGAGTGTTTAAACAACAGTCAGGCCTTTGAACCCCAGGCTCCAGTTAAAAAGTAACAGGCTAGATACTGAATCAATAGGAGGCAAATATTAGCTACAGAGGCTGAGAGAGATAGCATTGGGAAACACTTGCTGTGGTGACATGCAAAGAGCAATGGCCATACCCACCTGAGGTCCAGCAACCCCTGGGAGCCCCATGACCTTGGGTCATTGTCCTGCTCTACATGTTGAACATCGAAGTCACCAGCCCCAAATTAGCTTCTAGACCTCCCTTGGTCTGGACTTCTGCAGTATGCCGCTAACGGGTGTCCACTTGATTTTCCCCTTCCTAGTCATCTTACACCATGTTAGCCTGCTTCCAGCAAAGCTCTGATCTTGTCAATCTGCTGCTGGAAAATTTTCCATGACTTCCCACTGCACTCCTGACTGGTGCTCAAGGGTGTCTACCTGCTCATCGGGATGTGTGGGCAGTAGGATGGCAGATCTCCACGTGGTCACATCTAATCACCAATTCCCAGTCTTCTTTCTCCCCCTTAGGGTGCTGCCTTCAGTATTATCAATGATTTCTTCTGTCTTCAAACTCTGTCTTTGGTTTTCATGGTATTTCAATCTTCTGGTTACTCTCACACTCTTGAAATATTCCTATTTTTTTCTCCTCCCCTAAAAGTAGGTGTTCCCCAATCAGTTGTTCTTGGTGAGCTCTCTCTCTCTCTCTCCCTCTCTCTCTCTCTCTCTCTCCTCTCTCTCTCTCTTTCTCTCTCTCTCTCTCTCTGTCTCCCTCTCTCTCTCTCTCTCTGTCTCTCTCTCTCTCTCTGTCTCTCTCTCTCTCTTTCTCTCTCTCTCTCTCTGTCTCTCTCTTTCTCTCCCTCTCTCTCTCTCTCTCTCTCTTTCTCTCCCTCTCTCTCTCTCTCTGTCTCTCTCTCTCTTTCTCTCTCTCTCTCTCTCTGTCTCTGTCTCTGTCTCTTTCTCCTCTTCCTCCTTCTCTTCCTCTTCTCATGGCTTAAGTTACTACCTCCATGTGGACAATTCCCAGGTCTATCTCCTGCCCTGCTCCTCTCCAGACCCTCATCTCCCAAAGCCTGATGGACTTATCATAAGACATTCCTCAAGTCACCCAAACCAAAAATGTCCCAGTCTGAACTGACACTCCTTTTAAACCTCTTCTCCTCTGTGTTTCCAAATCTGTGGGAGTTGTTCTCTTGGATCTTCCAGGCATCCACACTGGAACTTCATCAGTGACCTTTCACATGGTTTTGCTCCCCAAGTTGAAAGAGTGACAAAGTTCAGTTTTCTATTCATGCATTCACTCTCATTTATTCAACAAATATGTGTTGAGTGCCTGCCATGTACCAAGCACTCGCAGGAGCTACAAAAACAGTAACTAAAACAAAAGAAAGATCATTTCCATCTTGGAGGCAACCAAATGAGAAACATAAATAAGTACAATGTATGGTGTGCTAAGTGTCGATAAAGCCGGGGAAAAAGAAAGCAGACAAAGGATCCAGGCAGTATGGGAGGCTGCAATTTTGGATAGGGTGAGTCAGGGCGAAGAGCATCAGGAGAAGCATGAGCCAGCCACGAGGCTGCTGGGAGAAGAGCATTTGGGCAGAGAAACAGCAAATCCAGGGGTCTTAAGGAGGAGTGGGAAACAAGATAGAGCCCCTTTGGGACTATGCCAAGGTGAGCCACTGGTTAGCCAAGTGAAGGATCAGGTGGAAAATAGAAGGAGCATGGATGTCAAGGAGGTTCAGGCTGGAGCTAAAGCATCACCAGCATGTACATGGTATTTAAAGCTGTAACACCGAAAAGGAGGGTTTCAAGGCCAGGAACGTGAGATAGATCCAGGAAAGGCAGAGAGGCCAGAGAGGTGGGAGGAAAACCAGGATATAGTGGTGACCCAGGAGAGACTGGACTGGGAGGGGAGAGCTTATTGATGAAGGGCAGACCAAGTATGGCCTGTCCTGCTGGTAGGTCAGCAAGATGAGGATTGAGAAGCGATCACTGGAATTATCGATGTGGATGTCATTGGTGGCCTGGAGAATAGGAGAGGTTTTGCTGGAATTTGGGGGCAGATGCCTCACTAGAGGAAGAAGGGGAGGAGGAACTGGAGACAGAAACCCCCAACACAGCTCAGGCATCTGGATTCTCACCTTCCTTTCCACCCTGTCTCCACCTTGCTCGCCTCTGTAACTGCTGCTGCCCACGTGATGACAATAATGTCCTGACTGTACCTCCCGCTTACCCCCTTCCCAGTTCCCAGTCCAGTTTGCTCTGGTGCAACCAACTCCAGTAACCACATTCTCCTGCAGAAACTCTTCAAAGGCTTGGCTGTACTGACCAATGAAAATGAAACTAAAATCTACACTCCTTATGACCAAGGTCATTCAAGGTCAGGCTCCTAACTCACTTTTTCCCTGTGCTCCTATAGTCACGTAGAGGGAACTATTCCACCCCCATGCAGCCCTTGCATTGCAACCTTCTTGCCTTTGCTCCCACCACTCTCTCTACTGGGAGTGACCTTCCCATCCAAATCTAGCCAACCTTCAGTGCCCATCTCAAATGTTACCTCCTCCATGAAGCCCTTCCTGCTTCACCCCACCAAATGAAGTTCCAACCCTTCTCTGAGCTTACAGCACTTTGTCCCTTTCTGTCTCTTATTGCGGTTATTTGTATGACTGTCTCCATCCTTTATATCACCAGAAGCACCTGAAAGCGTGGGGCTAAATCAATGATCTCTGTACCTTGGATGCTCAATAAAACTGGATTACAGTAAACTAGATGCTGCTGGGGAAAGGGGGGATGGTGCTGGCTATAGGGAGGTTTGGGGTTGTCTATGGATTTCTGTTTGAGGATCTTTGCTGTTTCCTGGCCGTGTGTATTCCTGAATAAACGAGGATTGCCCACCTCACAATCCTGATGGAGGGACCGGGTTAACTGCAAGACAGTCAGCTGGGGCTGGGCACAGAGGCTCACACCTGTAATCCCAGCACTTAGGGAGGTCAAGGTGGAAGAATCACCCGAGCCCAGGAGTTCAAGACCAGCCTGGGCAACGTAGTGAGACACCCCCCTCCATCTCTATAAAAAATTGTAAAAATTAAAAAATTAGCCAGGCATGGTGATACTTGCTTGTAGTCCCAGCTATTCCAGAGGCTGAGGCAGGAGGATTGCTCAAGCCCAGGAGATGGAGGCTGCAGTGGGCCATGATTACACCACTGCAGTCCAGCCTGAGTGACAGAGCACGACCTTGTTTCTAAAATCAAAACAAAATGTCAGGTGGAGTCTCTGGCAAGAGAGCACAAGAGGAGGCAATGTGACAGTCACGAAGACACTGAAACTGCAGACAATGATCTGCTGGGACAGTCCCGCTGCCTTGGCCTGAGCATTTTGAGGCCCCTCGACTCTCCCTATTTCCTGAAAAGTAGCAAATGAACAAGCTGCCCTTTTTGCTCTGCCTCTCATACTTGTAGACACAATTTCCAAGCTCCTTGTTTCAGCAACAATTTAGTTCTTCAGAGATGACAGTTTCCCTGGGGGACTCTGGGCATCTGAGCCACACTTGACTGTCTATGCAGAGGAGCCTGGCAGATGACTCCTGGTAGCTGCTTAACGGTCTTCTTTAGGTTTTCACTGAGGGCACGATTAAGGGACCTTGTGTCTGGGAAAGGAGGCCGCCCCGGAAGAGTGAGCCTGCCTTGCTTTTTGGTGTGGGACTGAGAAGCTGAAAATTAGAATCACAACCTCCACTTGGGATCCGCACAGTTCAGAATGGTGGGAACGTTTTGGGAACTCACAGGTGGATTTCCCAAGATCATAAGGGCAGAGCACCAAAACTATACAGAAGGAACACTTGAAAATGGTTGATGGATCCCAACTCATCTTTATTTGTCCTTCCTGAGATTTTTTTTAAATAGAAAATTTTCACCTAAAAATCAAGTTTTCTGACTTCGTTTTTTTTAGACAGAGTTGCTAGGCTGGAGTACAGTGGCTTAATCTCACTGCAATCTCCGCCTCCTGGGTTCAAGTAATTCTCCTCCCTCAGCTTCCCAAGTAACCAGGATCACAGGTGCTGCTACCACACCCAGCTAATTTTTGTATTTTTAGTAGAAACGGGGTTTTACCATGTTGGACAAGATCTCCTGACCTTGTGATCTGCCCGCCTCAGCCTCCCAAAGTGCTGGGATCATAGGTGTGAGCCATTGTGCCCGGCCTAACTTCTTTTTAAACATCACAAGATGGATGTAAAAACAACAACAAAACCTAGAAGACGAGGCATCTGTCAGCAAGGGCTTCCCTCTTTAGATGGGGCATGGACCTTCCAGTTGACCACGCTGCCCTACACTCACTGTTGTCACTTCGGGCTCACATCACTCATCATGTGCCTGGCCCATGCAAGTGTTTGAGTTTGCAACTCCTCTACCTGGTGTAGGAAATTTGGATCCATGTGAGAATTGAATGTGAGTTATCCAAATAATTATCCCATTTCTCTTAGAATGTGGCTGTTCCCTCTCCTTGTTGCGATACATCCGAGGGCCTGGGGCCTATTAACTCATACATCAGGCACTCAACTTCTCATAACTTTCTGAGTCTCCCCATCCCCCTTCTAATAGCTCAGTTGGGTTGGGAGCTACCAAGGTGCCTTTCCCAGTTTTTGGTCCTGGAGTTCTCGCCTTCCTCCAGCCTAGGGCTGGGTCTAGTGGAGCATTCCCCGCTTTTGATATAGTATGAGTCAAACTTTATCATACATAAGGAGCAGAAAAAGAGGAAAGAAGAAAAGACTTCATCTCAGAGATAAAGTCTTCAATTCATTTTCCCAATCTCATAAAATTCTTTTATCAAAGACACTCTACTGCCCTAGAAATGCCTCCTCTTTTTTGAAACCCTGCCCCAGTAGCTATTTGAAACGTCGTCTTGCCAGGAGGTCCTACTTACCTCAGTTTGGGAACAGCCTACCCAAATTGCAGGCCTGGTTCTAAGGAGGAGAAACCAAACAGCTGTGTGAAATTCATTTTACAAACCCAACTCGTAGGTCATGGGGGTGGGGTGGGGATGTCACAGAGAACGGGGAAGACAGACGCAGTTTCCTCTGCAAGAAAGGATTCATTCATTCAGGAAACAATAGTTGATCACTGTTTGCACCATGGATTGTGCTAAATCCACAGTCTTTGCTGTTAGGATTTTCATTTATTGTCGAGAAAGAAACTAGTCAGAGTAAAATGTGCCACAGATGCGGGATTCAAAAATCTTAGGTCTAGATGTATTATGTCATGCAGGTTTGTTTATTTTTGCTTTAGGAAAGTGATACAATATATATACCATCCATTATGTAGCATCCTCAGCAGAGTCAGGGACAGCACCTTTTCAGCAAAGCCATTAATAGTTCTACAGCAAAGGAGTCTGCTGAATAGTCACACTAAGTGGAATAAATAAAGACTATCAGTAGCCTCAATTCAGTTCAGGCCAAGTTTTTGCCATTAAGAACCTCCATCACATGTGATTCTTGCCACAAATCAGGTTGCTTCACATTTATGAAAAATTAGTTTTGGAATTGCAGGTAAGGGCTTGTGTCCCTTCCCAGAGGTTCAGATCCAGGTAAAGAAGGCTTCATGGTGGAGACATTGCTCGAGCTGAAACTTGAAGATCAACTGGACAAGATGCAGAAGAACTTTCCAGGTTGATGAGCCACAACACACGAGACAACAATCTACTAGGATTCCAGCAGCCCACTAAGGGCAACTAAGGCCGATCCTGAGGGACGCAGGGTCCTGCTGCTCCCCGAGGGTTGGGGGCACTCAGGAGCAACAGTGACCAGGCAGTACTGACTACCTGTGTCAGTATCACACAACCCTGGGCCCTCACCTCAAGCATCCAGGAAGCCAAGTCCTGCAAATTGCATTTAAACAAGATCTCCAGCAGATTTATTCATGCTAAAGTTTGAGGGCCATCAATTTATTTGACACAACATAAGTGTTAGGCATAGTTCTACATTGTTTTAGAAATATGAACACATTTAATCCTCCTAACAGTCTTAATAGGTAGATAGCTGCATTATTCCCATTTTTCAGATGGAGAAATTAAGATACCAAGAGGATTTAAAAAGTCATCCAAGATCACAAAGCTTGTGAGAGATAGGCCAGGTGGCCTGGTTGCAGGGTTTATGCTCTTAACCTGAATGCTGCCTTTGCACTGCTTCGGGCACCCATCCCAAGTGATAGCCTCCCTCCACCTGCAGCCATATTGAACCTGGGGCCTTGCTTCCTCTGCGATCCCAGCTGTGTTCCCCGAAGATACACATCCAGCCCCATGTGCCCCAACCCACGGGGACCAGGACCCCCGTACAGAGCTGTCCTCAGGAGAAGGAGTGAAACTTTGTTCTTTCACCCCTGGGGTTGGAAGCGACAGAAACAAGTTGACAAGAGTTTGTGATAAGCCTGTTAGCGTTGGCTCCAAAGCCCATGTTGCTCTCCTTTTTATCTGTGTTGTTGATATCTGATTCAATAGCTTCTGTTTGAGGAGGAAAAGCCAGAAAGCAGGACAGGGGGTTGGAGTCTGCTGACCGGATGGTCAGGCCTGGAGAGCAGTGTGTCCTTTTCTTGTGTCAATTCCAAAAGGCAGGGTTTGGAAACAAAGTCAACAGAAGGCTTTTCCTCATCTCCACATAAACAGCAGCTCAGCAGTGTTTGGGGAGTTGGGCAATGCTGGATGGAGTTGAGTCAGGAGGGAAGTCAACTTTGACTTACAGGTCTCTAAGCTGGCCTGGGTTTCCGTGTTTCCATCAGCTTGCCTCCAGCTCAAGTCAAAAAGAAAATGCTCCAGGCCGGGCGCGGTGGCTCACGCCTGTAATCCCAGCACTTTGGGAGGCCAAGGCGGGTGGATCACAACCTCAAGAGATCAAGACCATCATGGCCAACATGGTGAAACCCCATCTCTACCTAAAATACAAAACTTAGCTGGGCGTGGTGGCAAGCACCTGTAGTCCCAGCTACTCGAGAGGCTGAGGCAGGAGAATTGCTTGAACCCGGGAGGCGGAGGTTGCAGTGAGCCGAGATTGCACCCCTTCACTCCAGCCTGGCTTAGATTTATCCCCACTAGCGAGACTCCATCTCAAAAACAAAAAAAGAAAAGTGAAAATGCTCCATGCTTTTGTGTAGCCCACTCACCTACCACGGAATTAATACTGGCATGGGAGAATGTTCTGGAACATCCTGTCTTCTCCCCTCACACTAGGTGTCTACCATTGGTATGTGCAAACTCTCACCAAGCAACTCTTTTTGATGGCCCCAGAGTTCTTTCTTGCTCGAGGACAACTGCTTTCTAGCATGAGCCAATTCTGAGAAGGCCGAAATTAGGCCCAGGGTGAGGGGTAGGCATAGCAACCATCTACTCTGAGAATTTTAAAAACAGAGAGGAAACATTAGAGATTATTTGCTCCAAACCCCTGGCTTCACAGATAAGGGAACCAAAACTCTGAAAGGAGAGATTTCTTGCCCAAATTACCCAGCTAGCAAATAGCGGGGCTAAATCTAAGCCCACTCACTCAACCTCCAGTACCACGGTGGGTTGAGTTTTTCCCATCACACTATTCGATCGCTCATCATTTGTCTTCAGAAATTTCCAGTTCATGTTCTTAATCATCCATTGAATCTCTTCTTCATTCATTCTGAAGTATCTTTTAGAGCCAAGTGATGGACCGAGGCCTGGAAGGAACTGACAGCAGCAGCCATTCATTCCTTGGAGAGGCCCTGGAGGGGGGACCCCACTCCTCTTCCTCCTCCCATCAGAGCTCTCTCCTGCCTTTGGAGGGAAGGGAGCAGAGGCGTCCTGTCACAACCCCCACATCTGCTCACCTGTCACCCGTGCCGGCAGCTCCCAGCAAAAGCCTTTGCTGCCTGAAGCCACCAGAGGAAAAAGAATGACCTCTGTCATAAGCACCTCTAAAGGAGAAGCAGCAAATGGGATGAGGAACTTACAGAATCTAAAGCAGGTGCAGATGGGAGCCAGTTCAGTGGGAAGAGCTTTTCCCTTAC